ATAGTCGGATTAGGGAAGCAAGTCAGGTATTCATTACTCTGCAATGTGCGTGAAGATATGTCGTACTTTTCAACATTGAACACTAATTTCATATCGTTCACTGCTTCTGTATACTTCACAGTTTTGGTACATGGGTGACCTAAAACTGCTGCAGAATTTCATCAACACCTACCTCCTGAACAGGAAATAACTAGGCTGGTATCGAACCACCTAATATCTTATTACCCGACAAGTATTAAGAAGGGAATGGAGATAGGCTGGAAGAGACACTAAACTGACACCAAATGCTAGGCAGCCCGTTTTTTGAAATCCGAGTGTGAATCGACAAGTTCGGAAATCCTTGTGACGACCAAATGAAAGTTTGTTGGTGGTTGTAGAGGCAGGTGAAAGTGAAGGCAGACAACCATGTGGGATCAAGACGTGTCGATGAAGACCTATGTTCCACTTGAAACTTAAAGAATGAATAATAATTATAATAATTCCTAATCAGTTAAACTGTCATCTGAGATGATTTTGAAAAGAGTACAAAAAGAGCACGAAGTGTAATCTCTAAAGGTTTCTGTTTTTGTACTTGCATGTTTGAAATCAATGAAGGATGAGTACTAGATTTCATTCACACTAGACGGTTAGAAAATGTAACGTGGAGATTCAATGCATATGGTCTTGAAATTATTCAGAAAAGCCTACTCAAAGGATATATTCCCTAAGTCAATACACACTCAGATACATCTTATATTGACACTTTGTATTTACTCCTTTCTTTTTCCATCTGTCAGTGAGCACCATTCATGTAATAATAATAATAATACATATGTATAGCCCTCAAATCTTGATATATCCATGTAAATAATCCCGATCCAAGCATTATTGAATAAATAAAACAAGTAGTTCAACGAAGAGACAATTTTCAGCGATTTCATTCCTAGTTTGGGACTCTTCAGCAGTACGCACATGGGGTCGAACCCAGAACCCAATGGGTGCGTGCTGGTGAAGATTCGGAAACTAAGACGAAACAGCTGTCCAGTATGTCCATGTTTTTCAATGGTTCTCTAACCGATGTCAGCTCCTGATGAAATCCTCCAACCAATCAAACAAAATCCCTGCAGAAACCAATACATGGAAACGATTTCATTCCCTTTATCTGTACAGTCGCATTTATATGCATGGCTTCTTTTTTCACAGAAGAGTCAAGAGAGGATTGGGGTTGCTTGTCTCACGCTGTATCTTTCTTCTTTTCTTAGCATGCTACAGACTAACTAGGTGAAGTTTTAAGAGTTCATCAGTTGAGAATCGAATCCACACTTTCTGCATGGTTGATAAGCACTCGATTATTCAGTCAGCAAAGCATTTCATCTATAGTGCTGCGTAATGATGATTAGCAAACTCATTTATTCATGAATTTCATCTTTTCTAAAATACTTACCATCAGCTTTAGAATAAATAAAAGAATCATAGAATACATAATTATTTTGTCATCCATTATTGTACAACTGGTTCTAAATACTTTAATTCAATAAAAGAATTAAGGTATACACACGTGTGTACTGGTGTATGTTAGTGTTTGTGTGTATGTGTGCTTGCGTGCATGCGTGCGCATGTATTTATCACATAAAGATGACGGAAGATACCTAGAGTCTATTGATTTCCATTAGCAAAGTTGTAGTATATACTGGTAAAGGCTGATTGCCTTTCTTGTACAATCATCTATAAGGTTGGTACATTTTCGTTAGTTATGTTTACTGTATCACACAAAAAATTTAAGATAATATACTACTGATATTTCATATCAGTAAAAATAACCTCATATGTTTGCCGCATTGAAGAGTAAAGTTTACATGGTGTATATGATACCTTTTACTATTCTGCTTTGCTGCTGGTTAATTTGCTTTCAGTTTCACTATTGCTTTATAAACAACCAGTGTCGAATTTGTGTGCTCTCAACTTTGATTACCAACTGACATGAACTAGAGAACTATTAAAAACCAACCAATGTGTATTGATGCGCAGCTGTTTCATTGTTGGTTGGGACTCTTCATCAGTACGAACCCAATGATCCAACCGTCAGGGATCTAAATCAAGTCTTGACCTTACAAGGTGAACCGCTGAGACGAAATCCAAAGGCTCATATAGCCCGACTAACGACTATAGTGTATCTGTACTCACATCCAACTTGATGATGGATCTCACTGGTCATGACTTCTCACTAGAAGTTGAAGCCACTTCTTCTTTTAGTCAGTTACTAGGTAAGCACTAGATTAAATTTCAAGTGTTGATTTGCGAGGATTCGATTACTTTCAGGTTTAACTGCCAAATTAAAGTTTTAGTGAGTAGTTGTGAATAGCTGGAGTACACCAAATTGGATGTAAAGATACATACTCACTAAAAGACACTGGTAAACAGTCATACTTTTTTTCCACGGATTGTTAGAACTTAGGATTCACTGGTCCCAGTGGCTCACCTTGAAACCTGAACGTCCTGGGTTCAATCCCTGGCTAGGTCATTGGTGCGAACTGATGAAGAGTCCCAAACAAGGACGAAGTGTCTATCGAGTGCTCACCAGTTCCTAATGATTCTCTAACTGTAGTCAGTCTGTGATGAAACTTGAAGTCAGTCGAACTGCTGCTGTATTGATTTCAAAGTAAAACCTAAGAATATTCATGACTGTGTACAACTTTAGATGTATTCTGTAAACAGTAATTAGAAATATACCGAAAATATACTGAAAACAAAGTCAGCCTGAGGAGTTGTTTAAAAGTTTAAGTTCTTAGGCTCTATGCAGCTGAACGCAAATTTAATGCGAGGAGTTAATTGTGCATTCAAGGTTGACAGTGAACAATATCGTATAAGGAAGAAATAAAAGTTTGCGGACGGTCATGAAGCCAGCTGAACGTCATGGCAGTAAAATGAGTGGAATGGTAAAGCTCCACCAAAGACGTACGTTCTACTCAGAACCGAATTAATCAATTGATTAATTGTAATAGTCATAATAATTCACCATTCCCCGGGAGTGCATGTCTACCATGTCACATGGGGAAGAACTCAGGACCTGTGGGTTCTGAAGCAAGCACCTAACCAGTCATCCTTGCTGAGCTGGAATCTAAGAGACTACGAATTGTAAATTCTCTCATTTGGTGATATGGCATCATTTGTGACAACCACAACCGACTTGCTGTGACCTGAACGCAGGAGACCAATCTTTGCGTTCTACTGTATGGCTGATCAAAACTTTCTTGATTTATGTACAGTCACAGAATCCTCCAACGATGAAATCTATAGTACTATTCAATAATAATGGCATCAAGAACCCAAAATTACCTCAACAATGCCATTAGGAAGCTTTAAAGGTCGGATAACCTGTACTGTATAACAAAATCAGTTAACCAAAATTCAACCGTAAGAAGTATCTGAAGATCAAATGGAATATTCCTAATAAGGTGGGACCAAAACTCTATTAGCATGAATCCCGCATCAAACAATTCCTGCAGACAGTTCAAGGTCAGAATCACCTTCACTCACTCAAACAAAGTCTCATTAGCAAAACGACACATTATCAATGTCATCATATAACCACTAAGGTAGGTGTTTAAATTAGGGATTAAACAGTTATGTAGACAAAGAATAAAAATTAAGTGGAGAGATGATATTCAAATGTCAGAACGATGATATACAGTCTAGGAGAAAAAAGGGTGTTAATTACAAAGTTGGTTGAAACATTCAAATATGTATCAGTACTGTAATAAGATCCTTCAGGTGGGATTTTCCAAACAATCGTTTCGTTACATCAGTATCCATTATTTTTGATTACGGCTATTCCTTGCTCAAATCTATTCTTAGAATGAAGTACTACTATATTTGGAAGTATTGGTTTCGTAGGGATTTTGTTTGATTGCATGGAGGATTTCATCATGAGCTGACATCAGTTAGAGAACCACTGGAAAACCTGGGAGTACTGAACAGCTGTTTCGTCCTAGTTTGGGGCTCTTCATCAGGACGCACCCACCGGGATTCGAACCCAGAACCTTCTGGTTACAAGGCGATCTCGTAGACAATTGAGCCACTGGGACCCGATCCAATGGTCCTTGAATTCTAACTTCTGCCAATTCACGACATAACGCGACCACTTTTCAATGTCTTCTTCGATGAATTACTGCCTCACCTCAAAACCTGCTGTACCCTACTGGTCACGGCTTCCCACTAGAACCCCAGGTTAACTGCCTGAAAAGGGCCAGTCGCTAGTGAGCATCAGAATAATTTTCAAGTATTGGTTTTGTAGGGATTTTGTTTGATTGCATGGAGGATTTCATCATGAGCTGACATCAGGACCCTATCGGGTCCCAGTGGCTCAATGGTCTACGAGCTCGCCTTGTAGACCAAGAGGCCTTGGGTTCGAACCCCTGTGGGTGCGTAATGATGAAGAGTACCAAACCAGGACGAAACAACTGTCCAGTACTCCCAGGTTTTCCAGTTGTTCTCTAGCTGATGTCAGCTCATGATGAAATCCTCCATACTATATTTGGGTTATATTTTCTGAAAGACAGCAGGACCTTAGTTCCAATTCCATGCAAATTAATGACACAATCCCTCTTTGATTCTATTATAATGTAGTTAAGATCCAGTTGAGTCAATATGTTGTTCCTTTTGGTCTCAAAGTAAATCAATCGATTTTTGTATAGCAGTATTCTTTTAAAAATTACTAGTCGTAATGAGTTTCCTTTTCTTCTGTCCTATCACAATCATGTTTAAGAGAAAAATCAATACATACTGTCTCAAAACACACACTAGAAAGGTTTTATGGCTATAGGTTTACCAATATTGACTATTAGGATTAGTTACTTATTGATTTTCAATGGGAAGACTTTAGCCATAAGTTTCACTATACTATACCATACTATATATTAGCTGATTGATTCAAAAATGAGTATATTTCTAATCTCGGTTTATGTGCACACATTAAAATACTCTACAGTGGATAATATATCATAAAGAAACCAAAAACCAAAATGTTTCCAACGCCTACAGAACACATTGAACCACCGTGGAGAGCTATGAAGAGACAAGAACACGATAATCTGCATACTCCTAACAGTCGTCATATTCCGCCTATTCAGTCAGATAGTGTCAAGGTGACAACAGTTAACAAGAATGATTCTTGTTTATCTTACCGTGATGTGCCTAAATCTGGTGTTAATAGTAGTAATCATCTAAGACAGTCAACGAATACCTCATTTATAAGACAGCCGTCTAAAATTTCTTTACATCATTCACATGTATACTATAAGAAACCAAGAGATTTTCAACTGCCTGTTAATTTATCAAATGGGAATTTTCGGAATAGATCTAATTCCCTTGGATCTTTATCTGGTAGGCCTCCATTTTATCCACCTGGTCCTCAATCCTGGGATGATTTAGGCATTCGTTCAAATCCCCTTCGTATACAAAGAATACAACTGTCTAGAGAATTATATAGAAATGCAAATTCAATCAAAAATATCAATAATGTCAAAATGTCAAACATTCCACCGGAAATTAAGGTGGTTAAAGTAGACAGCTTACCGCTAAGGAATATAACCAATCATCATAGATCATCAAGTGTTGATCGGACAAAGATGAATCGATTATCACGTCCAAGAGAGTCACTTAGACATCTTCGACCTCATTCATCCAGTTCACTATGGTCATTGAATCATATGAATGAAAGTAGTAAAGTTAAAACTTCTTCACACGAAGTTATTCATTCACCATTTTGGTGTACAAATGATAAACGTTCAGTTTGTTCCTGTAGTCATTCAACGGATTCCTTGAACCTGAAAGTACCTAAATATCTGAATAAAAGTATCTCCAGGGTATCTCCACTGCCTCAGCCTATTATCACAAATTCTCAAGTGACTAATTCTATTGTACAAAATTATTTAGTAAATCAATCAGGCATTTATCAAGATAGTATAAGACGAGGAACTTATGATCTAGGTAAAAATGAATTTGGTTATAAGCCTTATTTTCAATCTTTACGCAGACTAGATTCAAACACATCAACTGTTTCTACAAGTCATGGAAATCTACTGGTAACACAGCCTTCTTATTCAACATCTAATCTATTGAATACTAATCATAATGATGATCATTCACGGAATAAAATCAATAATTATCAGATAGTTACTAGTAATTTTCATGTTAATAAACCTACAGATAGTATAATAACATTAAAAGATAGCACAAGAACAACAACAACATCAATAAGAAGTTCAGTTAAGCCTAATTATCGATCATGTGTGTATAAATCTATTGGTTCAACTAGTGAAAAGCATATTTCAAATTTATTTTATTGTAATCCAAAGTATATAACTATACACATATGATGATGATGATGGCTTTATGTCAAGTTTATATGGTCATATAGCTAAAGTGATAACAACTGGGGAAAATCAGAAAATGGATTTATTAAAAGGGCGTATTATCCATGACTTAACTTTTGTACCAGTAGGTACAACTATACCTTGGTGGGAAAAAGCATCTCAATCGGTAAGAGTTCTTATTCTATTCTACATGTATATATATATATGCATCATTCAACTATTTATCTGCTTCAACATTGAACCAGTTGTAAATATTGATATTAGTTAGATATTTAGGTGTCTTTTTCAAAACTTTGAGCTCTTATTATTGTTGTTATTATTGTCCCTTGGATTCTGAGTAGAACATAGGGCTTCAACAACGCATCTCTACTTTGTTCTATTTTGTGCTGTCCGCTTCACCTGGGTCCACGATTGACCATAATGTCTCATCTCTTCCACACACGATCTCCTCCATTTCACCATAGCACCGACCACCCACTCGTCGCTTCTCATTTGGATTTCACTAGAGAGATTGTCTGCATTGCACGAGACGTCATTCGACGGTTTCCACAATGTGTGCTCGATCCATTTTCTCCTACATATTTGTTGAGCGATCGGCTCTTGGTTGGTTTGTTCTCAGCCAGAGTTCCTTGTTTCTTATTCTTTCTGGCCATTTGATCTTCAGTATGGAGCCAGCCAAGACAGCTGTTGGTAAAAGTCTACAGTGATCTGTTGGAAATCCTTTTCGTGACACTCCAAGTTTCTGACCCGTAAAGAAGTACCAACTTTACATTTGTGTTGAAAATCATAATCTTGTTCTTTATGATGGATGGCTGAATGCAGAAGATTGCCAAACTGGTTTCAGACTGATGGAAGTGCATCTTGACTTTGCGATTCTAACTTTGACATCTTCATCCTTGCCTTTCGCCTGTGGTTGGAACCACGCTTTCTGGTCAGATAAGTGAAAGAAGTAACTAACCTCTGTCAAATCTCTCCCGCTGATGATGATTGGTGCTGGTTGTTGTCGCTGATGGTTGGTTATCTTCATCACCTCCATCTTCTCTATATCTACCTTGAGTCCTGTCTTCGTTCCCAACTTCTTTATCCAGTTCGTTGATCCTCGCTTGTGAGTCTTAGGGTTTGTGTGACATTTAACATATATCATTTGTCTAATGTCACACAAACTCAAAGAGATTTATGAATTTTTTTTCAAAACTTTGAGCTCTACAAATAAATAATTATTCAGAAAGTATCTTATAAATATCTTCAGGTTCACTCTCTTTCTGTTTATTTGTATGTGAGTATGCCTAAATGGTCTTCGATATCACATGACTGAAAGCCGTAGTTTGTCCTTCACACATCTTTGATCATTTACCAACTGTAGAAATTGATCTAATTTCAGCTACTTCAAATGTGTGTCTCTTTTAAATTCACTTACTCCCACGGAGCTTAGCTAAATTGGCTGCACAAAGTGCACACTTTCCAAACGCATGTAAAAAGATTAAGAAGATGGTTGCAGTGAAGGAAATTTCCCTTTTGACGAAGTCATCAACTAGGCTGTACATTCATGTGTATATGGTAAATGGGTCTCAGGACTACTTCTATTGAAGGGTCAAATTAATAAGATTACAAATAGGGATTAAAAAACGTAAAAGTAACAGAAATAAAAAAGAAGTTTGGATAAGAAAGGTAGGTAGGATAATCACTATTGAGAGAATTGATTACTTATGATAGCCATGCTAGAGACAAAGATCGAACGTATTTCTTTTGAGTACATGTGTGAAGAAAATTCAGTAAAATACCTAAAAGGAACACATAGGAGTAATAACAGTAAATGACTTTACCACAATTATTATTATTATTATTGTTCCCTTGGGTTCCTAGTGGAACATAGGGCTTCAGCTGCACGCCTCCACTTGCTTCTGTCTTCTGCTGTACTTTTCACTTGCATCCATGTTATTCCATACTGTCTCATTTCCTCCTCACACGATCTCCTCCATGTCACCCTTGGACGTCCCACTCGCCGCTTCCCTTTCGGGTTCCACTAGAAGCAAAAAAGTAGAAGGAGGTTTAAGATCATGGTAGAATAAGAGAATGAACAAATCTTTTCTCCACTCACTTACACAATTCAGGGTTATATTGATTAATCGTTGAGATCTCTGTCGTGCACAAGTAGCACTCCCTGTATCTTCACCCTTACCTTGTAGATATACGTTTTAGTAAATGTAAATACGAATGTACAGTCTGTGAACATGACTTCATTGGTAGGGAAGAATTTCTTCACTGAACCGTCTTTTATCTTCTTTATGAGTCCATGGGTATTCCTCGTCTTTTGGTGACTATTTTTGCCCCTGTGAACAATTAAACACTAACCGTAACACTCTTACATAATATATAACTTAAGCAACGACCAGTGAGAGACAGAAGACAACTAAGCATCAGTGTCTATCATTAGACAAAGCTTTATCAAGTCCATTGGCAGTTGACATCTGAAGGAGACAGTCATTATCTTATAAGTATTATTACGTATTTACTTCCATTCTATTGGTTAACTTTGCTTGTATCCAGTTAGTTAATACTTATATTTGTATTTCGAAAGGACTGTGTTTTGTATGCTCGGTTTCCTTATTTCTATTGACTGTAGTTATTAGTATTCTTTTGACAGATTGACTGTGATAAGCTCTCTCTATACTGTCAGCTATTTTGTCTTCATATTGATGGTTTGGTTGTTTCTTCCGTAGGTTAGTATATTCAGTCTGCATCGTAAAGCTTAGTTGTATTGTCATTGTGAAGTCTTTGTGTATTAGTTTTCCAGGAATTATGATGAATCATTCCGTTTGTGTTGAGTGGAAGGACTTGACTTACGTTTACACAATGAGCTTTTACCCTCTTTACTGCAGTCAGTGCCTTTTTTCTACCTTGTTTTCATTCTTCTTCGAGTTAGCCCCAAATAGTTTCCATCCAGGATCAAGATCGATGCCTACTGATTGCCACTTTGCTTGATTACCTAATATGCCAATTAAAGATCTCGCTCACTGTGTACTGAACTGGTTATTTTAGAAAATTCTTAAGGAATTCTGAATTCATGTAGTGATGTCAGCGGATGTTTTTATTGGGTGATGTAAATTTGATTCTTTTATTTTTAAATATTCAGTCTTTTGGTTCAAATTACAAGTTTAGTGAGAATCTCTTCGAATTGTGTGCTACGTCATATTTTAAATGAAGTTTAATATTCACACTGCTGTTTTCGAGATGCTCATGTTTTGAGGAAGTGCGATACTCTTATTGCCCTTTGAGTTATACTGTTTTTGAATATTTTCGGAGGCCTGTTTTTACGTAAACCATTGAGCAATAAGTCATCATGTATATGTGGCTCTTCTCTACATTATTAATATACTGTTATGATTATTCCCTTGGATTCGAAGCTGAACATAGCACTTCACACCTCTATTTCATCGTGTACTCTGAAGTACGATTGGCCATAAAGTTTCATCTCCTTCTCACACGATCTTCTTCATGTCATTCTCGGACCCACAGCCAACTTGTCGCTTCCTATTCGAGTTTCATACACCATGCTTGCCTGGCACTTGATGTCACTGGATAGTCTCCTAAGCGTATGTCCAGTTTATTTATCTATAAACCCTTCTATATATTTGTTGAGGGACAGGTTCGTAGTTGGTTGGTTACCAGAGTTCTTAACTATTAATCGTTTCTAGATATCTTATTCTCAGTATGGAGTGGTGGTAGCCTATGATGAAAGTCTACGACCTGTTGTAAATGCTTGTGGTGGTGCTCCAAACCTCTGAAGGTGACTTCTCTCAGATTTCTCCCGTTTTTAGTTATAGGCGCTCTTCTCTACATACTCGACGCTAACTGAACCTACAATGAGTTTTCGCTCTTTTGTAGTCCATTCATGGGGATTAGTTATGTAATTTGGTGTTTTAAATGAGCATTAATTTGTTCCTGTTGATTTGAGTTCTCAAGTTTTAACTCTTGTCTTCTTTGTAATAACAGTTATGTCTTTTACACAACTTGCGCTTATGTATAATAAATCCTGTAATAAGGTGAATCACTTGAATATCGTATAAGTTAATTATTTAGAAATACTTTAACCATGTGGACATGTATAGGTGATTGAGCATTACTCATAATCTGGGCCTAATTATACATTTTTCACTTTGTCTAGCAACAGAATCTTTTGTAATGTACGCATACAAGCAGCAAATTTCATTTGATTACTGGTAGTTACACTGAAGAAGTTTCGAGTAGGATATAAGATGGTGTAATCTGCATATAACTCCTGGTCCCTACCAGAAATATACAGTCAATGTCTTGTGCCTGGATTTTCACTTAACTGAATGCTATTATACATTTCATACTTCAGAAGTGAAGTAGTTTATTTTTACCAAGAAGCTGATAACATGTAGGTGATTTAACCCCTTCCGTTTCCTCGGTTTATTTAAGGCTTCTAAGCAAAAAATTATGAACTTGTATTCAAATGGAACATAAATAAATGTGAACAGTTCATGATGAAATCCTGGAACCAATCAAATCCCTACAAAATCGATACTTGAAAATTGATCTGATGCTCACTAGCGACTGGTCCTATTTAGGCAGTGACCTGGGATTCTAGTGGGAAGCCATAACCAGCAGGGTACAGCAGGTTGAAGATGAGGCAGTGACTCATCGGAGAAGACATTGTTAAGTGGTCGCGCTATGTCATGAATTGGCGGAAGTTGGAATTCATGGGCTGGCCATTGGATCGGGTCCCAGTGGTTTAATGGTCTACTAGTTCGCTTTGTGACCAGAAGGACATGGGTTCGAACCGTGGCGTTGGGCGTGTAATCCTGAAGAGCCCCAAACTATGACGAAACAGTTTCCCAGTACTCGCAGGTTTTCCAGTGGTTCTCTAACCGATGTAAGCTCATGATGAAATCTTGAAATGTGAACTCTATTGAACCTCATAGTTTTCCGACTGATCACTTGAATTAACTACTTCTTAAGCATATTTAAAGTCGTAGCAAATAGCCGGGTAGGACTATTTCGATGGAAGTAAAGCCACTCCAAGCCAGGTTCAATACGCACACAAATGTTCTATCAGGGGAGGTTAAGATAATCTCCTGGTCATCAGGATTTTTTACTTCATCTGTTTACTTTGTAGTAGCAATAATGTTAATATTATTGTGA